AAAAAATTAGGAATGTGTCAAATCGTATGGTTGCTGTGGATAGTAAGTGTAGGTGGAAGGATAGTGAAGATAGGCAATACAGAAATTGTAAGAATTTTTAAATATTTATTGTCGGGAAATGTCTGTGTTCTTAACTAGTTTTAGTGATAATTGTACCGAAAATGTTTTTATTGTTGATTGTTGTTAATTATAGAAAGTGTCGTTGGAAGGCCTGCTGAAGAGGGACGAGCAAGTCCGAAACACATGTTTAAAGTGTATGTGTTCAGGTGAACTAAATAAAGAACATTATTTTTGAACTGTAAAACTAAATATCTGCATCCATAATTCCAGTATAATAAGTCCTGTTAATATATAGATTGTACTTGTAATACAAAATAAATTTTAAATAGTTATAAAAAAAAAGGACAAAAAGGCATAATTAATTAATAAAAGTCAAAATAGTCTGTTTGAATTTACTAATTACATAAAAATTTGACAAGGTAACAATTAAAATTTACTGATGAATTGTAAAAGTTATAATTAGTAAATCTAAAAAACTGTTAGAGATACATATAGTTCTATAATATACAGGTTATGTTTGTCCCATTGTGATGTTTGATATACTTTTAATGGGACAAAATTTGATGATGATTTCTCATAGAGAAAATAAGAAACAGGCATAAGAATATATGTCTGGAAATTGATTCTTTGAAAACCACCAATCTCTTACTATACCAGTGTCTTCAGGTGTCTCCACAGATAAAAGTCCAAAAAAATTCAGTTCAAGAATTTGGGGACCATGCCACTGAACCTGCTCTGTCTATCCATCTCTGAGATATGTGCATGTTGTACTAAATCATACCTGTTGATTGAGAGTTAATAAGAGAGTTATGTAATAAAATATATGTCTTGCACCTGACACTGTCATAAAATGTTCGATTTTACAAAAACATGCCCATTTCTGAACACACATTTATAAGCCTTTCTTTCTTAATTTAATTTTGTTATGAAGAATCATATCCCAAAAGTTAACTTTAAATAAAACTTTACAGTTTTAAAATCTCACTGACCAATATATATATAATGTGGATGATTGACAATAATAATTGTCAACTTTGTTGTAACTATTAGCTTGACTATTGAACTCCTTTGGCATGCAATAATAATAATANTTGAAATCGGATGAGTAGTTTCAGAGATTATCTGCTGCAAAGAAACTTTTACATACATACATACATACATACATACATACATACATACATACATACATACATACATACAAACATTACGTCTTTATATATTAGTATAGATAGATACATAAATGTGTACAGTTGTGGTTTTGCTTGTACACTAGGTAATGTTGTCAGAATGCATTAAAATTACTACCCCACTATCATTTAGAGAGGCTGAAAGAGACTTACTGTATCTACACATGTTCATTTGTATATAATTTTAAATACTTAAAAGATAAAATATAGATACTTTTAAATTGCTTGCAAGGAAGCCAAATTCTGTTAGTCTTCTTAATTTGGAACATTTTTGACCCTCTTTAGATCAGCTTCAGCCAATAACAGTTGTAAACTTCTAAGGAGTGAATAAAAACATTTGTTCTTTGTTAAGAACATAAATTTAAAACGCATGAGCATATTTTGAAATGTTATCACTAAAATGTGTGAAATACTTACTATTTTCTGTGCATTGGATGTGATGTGATGTCATGCTTTTTCTTTTGTCTATTTCTCAAAAACTTTGGGTCATAGAGGTATGGTTCTTGGGTCATTTTTATGTACTCTAAGTGCAGATTCTCAGTCTATGCAATCTTGATGGGACATCCTGTATATAAATATAACAAATTATAAAGTTACATTTTAAACACTTTTGTAAATGGTCAAGATTGTTCAAAACCAGTATTCTGAATAGACTAATAGAAAAAAGATCTCAAAGAAATGGCCAGCCTTTAGGATGGGGTAAAAAACAAGTTTGAATACAAGTAATGTGTAGTGGAACTCTAAGGTACAACCATTCAGAACAAATGGAACCATGGAAATATTTATATAAAAGTGAATGATTTAAGTATTTTGACATAATCAGAAAAACTGTGAATTTCCAATCTGGACCTAGCAACATTAGCATTAGGGGTAAAAGGAAGGTTACAGAATTTATTTAAAATAAAATAATTAGTTTAAACATTTCTTAAAATGTTTCCTAAATGAGAAGAGGCAGCCATAGCTGATATTCAATTCAATTCATTTACGGAGACATAACCATAGCTGATACTGCAGATGACAATCAAGTGAAGATTGAATATTGGCAAAATAAATGGATTCTAATACTGTTTTAGATGAGGTGGTTTTGCAAAAGTGCCAAAGAATTTAGTGACAAATAGCAAGGGATTTAATGATTTTATCAACATCCTTTAAATGTAAGCTACTTACAGGACAGGCAACTTTAAGCAATACTTGCATAGATTTAAACTTGGGGACAATCCACAATGTGATTGTGGTATTCAGGAGGACCAAACACCACATCACTTAGTTTTTTGCTGCAATAGGTACAATCACATTAGGAATAGTTTTAATGAGAGCTGTTATTCTTGAAGGGTACAACTGGCCTTGCAACCGGTGCCAATTCATTCACATGCATACAGTGTTCCATCTACTCACATTTATATCCCTTAGAGGGGCTCTTGAGAGCACTCACTCCAAGGGTATGGATGGCAATTAGCTTTTCCTTTGCTTTGTTTGAATTGTCAGGATATAACTGCCTTTTAACTTTGTATTTTAAATTTTTTTTTCTGTCTTCTCTTTCAGTCTAAATTCAGTTAATCTTAATTGTAAGTTAGATTAGGGACTCTTGGTTTCCAATTAGGATATGATAGGTTAGGTTAAATTTGATTAAGGTTTGTTAGCTTTAGTCCTCTGATTAGGTTTGTCCTAGGTTATGGTAGGTTAGTAAGTTAATGTTTAAAAAATAATAATAAAACCAAAAAAATAAATAAATAATTAAATATTCCAGTAGTATTATACAGGTTAAATTGTACTTGCAGAGACTAAAAGATTGGAAGCAAGATTGAAAGAGCCATAAGGCTAAAATATCACCAATCTGCATAAGTTCCATTGTAAAAAAATAACTGTATTATTGATAGAAACAATATAAAAATTTTATACAGAGAAAAGGTTCTGTATTTGACAAGATTTAAAGAACATGTTACAATAATTCATTGTAAAAATAGTATTAATTTAAATAATGAAATGGAGATTGATGATGTGTGGCATGACATCACCATAAACCATAAAAAGTGTTGTAAATGCAAAATGGGATAGCAAGGTACAGCAATTGCCTGATTGTGTGTTTTGAGGTATGTTTTTATACCTTTGTGAAAGATATTAATTCTTCTTATATCTTTTTTAATTTGTAACCTCAGGAGGGAGTGATTATTTAGCATTAAGATAAGAAAAGAGTTTGATGAGAGGTCTTGGCTTCTGTTCAATAGTTCTGTTCAGAGATCACTAATCGTGGGATTGTATGGAAGAATCCTTTACATCAGTGTTTTTCAACCTGTGGGTCACGACCCCCAGGGGGTCGCAAAGCCTTACACGGGGGGTCACGGGTAAAAGAAAAAGACAAGTGTTTGTAGGTCCTACACTACAATAAAAAAAAACTACAATTTCAGTGAGAAGTCTGCCTCTGTTTATTTTACAGTACAATTGATTTTTTGATCGATATTTAGGTCTGAACAGAAAGAAAATTAAATACGTAGTTTTTAAAATCACTGATATAGTTTTAATATGGCCCAGGGGGATCGCCAGAATTTTTTAAATTGTAAAGGGGTCGCATCTTCAAGAAGGTTGAAAAACACTGCTTTACATAATGTTACATCTGCTTCCATTTTAACAACTTTAGTTAAATTTTTTTTTATAAATCATTTTATATTTGGCAAAGTATGATACAGTAAAGTTATTATATAACTTCTAAAGGTGAAAAATCAAATGAATTATAATTAAGAAAAATAATCTACTTATTTACAGATATAAAGTAATCAATACTATATAATATATACTATAATACTATAAAATATCAATAAAATAATTTCTATGATGGATTTTCTAAAACAACAACTTTGCATATTGGATCTTTTATCTTGAATTATTCAATAAGATTTCACAGTGTAAATCAGAAAAGAAGGAAGATTTCTTTTCTTTTTTTCTGATAGTATATTAGTTGTGTAGAAGCTCCTAATTTTTTAATAACAATGACTATTTTAAAGTCAAGACACTGCAAACTAGTGTGGTCTTCTTAATGTTGGATTATTAAAATCAAAAATGATTATAATATAAATTTTAGTGAAAAATTTCATAAAGCATACAAATAATTGGTTTTTATTGTTTGTTTAGGATCTTTCTCAAGTAGTTATGGATTTGATGAACCCTGGAGATTAAATATTGTCTTTCAGTTTCAGAAGAGATATGAAAATGAAATCAAAAAATTCAAATCATATCCACTTGCAGTTGAAAAGGTAACTTAATTTTTCTGAATAATGGCATTTCTGTCATAATTTTCAAAGATGATACGAAAAATCTAAGTTTATGAATTTATATTTAACATAAAAGTATTGAGAAACAATTATTATTTAATAACTCTTCTAAGAAATTATTCTAATTAAAAAATCATCTCAGAGTTGTTCATATTTTATATTAAGTAGAGAGACACTGATATGTTTTATAGAATTCACAGAAATCTGAATATCTTAAAAACCTTCAAAAAGTATTTAAAATTTTATTTTATTGATAAATTGATATCAAAAAACAAAAGATATCAAAGTAGCTTTTGACAAATCTAGTTCCAAGAATATGTTCCACAAATATTTCTTCCACTCATGAGGGAATTGTCAGTGTGTCTTCTAATAAATTTTAATAAAATTTAGTTAATAATTATGTTAAAAGTATACAAACTCTATATTAAATTTGTAGTATTTACTAAAAGTATTAATCAGGATTAATAGCAATCAAATGTTTTAAACTACTATAAAATAGTACAACAAATATGCAAATTTTTAGTAGTGAAAGGGTCGCGGAGGAAGGCGGCGATACAGTAATACCTTGATTTTTGTTGACTTTGGTTTTCGTCGACTTTTTTGCAAAAAATTTGCCTCGGATTTTGTTGGCATGCCACGTGATCTCGTTGCTAATTTTGCGAAAACAAAGAGCGACCCATGCGTTTTTCTGCTCACAAATCATCGTGGTGGTGTTTCTTGCTGTATTGGCATTACTCTGCACGTCTTGCAAAACAATTCCATTGCTTCCCCTCCTTTTACTTGCATCATGGGACCAAAGAAAGTTTCCAGAGCCATCAGCCCCTCAAAGAAGGCCAGGAACACAATCAACTTGAAGGAAATCATTAAAAAAATACAAGAGCGGCATTAAGATTGCTGAAATAGGCCGCATGTACTGTACGAGAAGTTGCCATCCACGATAAGTTTTGTTGTAGCAAAAAGGAGGCTAATGTAGCAAAAGGCATAAAAGTGCTAACGAAACAAACCACAAACAATTGAAAATGCCGAACAGTTATTATTAATTTCGATCGATCAATCAAAAACAGTTAGATGGCGATTCTGTTTCGGAGACCATTGTATTAGTTTTTTTATACTCATTTTATATTAATTTCTTATTATTTTTAGTATTAAGCAGTACAAAAACCGAGATATCACTATTACATTTACAGAGTAGAATAAGGAATAAACTCAGAATAATCTTTTATAACATTTATTTATCATTACTTTAACGATGAAATATAATATAAAAGTAGTGTAATATACATATAAATATAAAGAAAACAATCGAAACGTAATAAGTAAATACATTTTAATAGATATATTTAAAAGTTATCATATTCACAAATTATTAGATGGGCAACTATTTACATGATATTTTTCAACAAAGCAAAATAAACAAAGAACTTTTTTGCATCATGCACATTTAACAAATCAAAGATTTTGGCAATTACTCTCAACACAATTTAAACTATCAGTGTTTAAAAAGAATAACAAACTTGTTATAAATAAAAAATGTCAATTCTTAAATTTAAGAGTCCAGAAACAAACCATGCATGTTTAATCAAATTATTAAATATTGGCACAGATAATTGATGATGAAGAATCAAATGTAATTTTATAATGCCATTTCTAGTTGTCCAAAATAATTTCATCGAAGAATCATTACAGAATAATTGTAGAGCATTTAAAATTTCTTTAGCTAAAAGTTTTGTCTATGAAATCGAACATCTAAAGGTTGGCATGTAGATGTACACTTTGGTGGAATAATTAATATTTCGCGTGAATTTTGATTTGTAGATGTTTGAAATACTGTGTTATAAATATTAATATTTGTTTGTCCACTCCACGAGTCAATTATTAATAAAAAAAGTTTTCTGTTATATTTGGAGATAATACATCTTTTACATAGTTTGTAATAATTGCTGTAGATAATTTGCCAGATGAGCTAGCTGTAACAGTTACATTTGAGGCATTGAACAGTGATGTTTGAACTCTAGGTCCAAAGGTTCTGTGAGCCTCTTTTAAGCAAATAAATACATTACCTACAACTTGTCTGTTAGCATTAATTAAATATTGAATGGTGTAGGAATGCATAACTTTATTACCATCCAATAGTATTTTTCTCTCCTTTATATGAAAGTGTTCTTGGTGAAATCATTTCGTATGAAAAACCACACTGATCCGTATTGAATATGAAGTTATGCGAAAAAGATGGCAATAAATTTTTTATTGTTTGAAATTGCGCAGCTTTTATTAAAATATCCTGTTCGTTCACTATTTCTGTTTTATTTACAAGTTTTGTAATCTTTCGAGATACTAATCTATATTCTTTTTTAAATTTTGCAACCCAAGAATCACTAGCTGAACTATTCAGTTAAAAATATGGACATTACAGAAATTTCTTCAATTAATTTCCTTTAACAATTTTATAGCTGCCTTGAGCTTCGTCAAACATTTGTTTAGTATGTTCTTTAATGATTTTTAACATTTAAATTCTATGCTTTTGAGATTTAAATTGTTTTTTCCATTTATATAAATCAATAAAACGTTTTAATTCTTTAGCTTCTTTCCACTGTAATGTGTGTAATTTCCATTTCAGGTGTTTCTTATGTAAGTTAAGAATTTCTTCTTTTCATTTTGTTGAGATTATATTCTTATCGGATTTTTCATCATCATCTGAATATCCTGATTCACAGTCAGTGTTTGCATTATCAATTTCTTTTTCTTGAAGCAGATGTGTTATTTTATTATCTGAAATAGGCCTATCTGTGATCAAATTGTTATTTTCCATCTGACAAAACTCTTCGTCATCTCTACTTACATAACTACTTAAAATATCGCTAAATGCATTAAAAAGCAGTTTGGTTACTTGTTGATCAATGTCTGAAATATTAGGCTTACAAATCTTTTCTGTAGGCCAAACATTATCCCAAACGTTTTAATACTGCTATAATGTTTTGAATATTTACATTTAATTCTCCCATTTTTGAAAATTCTAGAATTTATTCTTAAATGTAATAGAGCAGTCTTCCTCTGTGATCGTTTAAAACAAATATGCAAATTTTTAGTAGTGAAACTACTATAAAATAATAAGACATTTGATTGCTATTAATCCTGATTATTACTTTTAGTAAATACTACAAATTTAATATAGAGTTGTATACTTTTAACATAATTACTAACTAAATTTTATTAGAAGACACTCCAGCAGTTCCCTTGTTAGTTTTATATGATTCAACATATTTAATTTTATTTATGTTGGCCCTTTCAGTCTTTTTATTGTTTACATTAGGCAAAACATTAATTTATTATAGATATTAATACCATTGAAGAACAGTATTTCTCATGTTTCAATAAGAGCAAAGTTTATAGAAGAAAGGCAATATTGTTTAATTAATAGAAATATCATTCTATAAAAAAAGGTTCAGATTTAAAAAAATATATATATAATTACCTAAAATGTTAAAATTAAAGTATAATAAATTTTTAAATGTCAAAAAATTTTTGGATATTATTATGCAATTTTTTTATTTTTAGAGTACCTGGGTGAAAACGGGTTCTTGTAGATTAATGTCCGACTCACAACCACGTCATTGGGTTGACTGTCAGTTGGAATTAGAACGACATGGTGCTGAGAGGAATCTTGACAGTGCCACCTTGAATTGCCATTGTTTTATGGGAGTTCAAAAGATAGTAAGTTATCTGAAATAGAAGAATAATTTTTTTAAAAAATGTGAATGTTTAGTATGTAATTAAAAGTACAGGGTTAGTGAGAAATAAGTTTCCCACTTCAGAGAGCTCTGGAGTGCATTCTACTGCTTGCAATGAAACAAAATTTAAACCACAAATTTGGCTAATTCAAATGATTCACTTTACATTTCTTTAAAAAAAAAGTACAAAAATCTGTCAATGGGTGGCACTGGAGCATACAGAAATATTGAATATGTATGCACATATAAATGTTGAATATATATATATAACACTAAAACCACTCAATATGTCCGCAAAACCATATTTTCCACAGCTGTGGAAAATATGGTTTTGCGATTAGAGCACATTGTTCAAAACGAAGAAGGAATATCCAGAACATCCAGAATGAATGCCAGAATATCCAGAACATGGCACCAAATGCTGTCCTTCAGATCTGGCATAGATGCGGGGGCCATATTCTGGTCACCGTCTCTGGTCTCTTATCTCTCACAAGCTGGTCGCTGATTGGCTAATCATTTGGATTAGCCAATCAGTGACTGGCTTGTGAGAGACAGGAGACCAGAGACAGTGACCAGAATATAGCCCCAGGTCTTCTAAGGTAGATGTTTTCCTTTGGGGAAACCCCATAACTAAAAGTCGTATGGTGTTTTACATGTTTGACATATGCAAAGAAAGACCATTCATTAATATGTAAATTTTCGACTATAAATTCATATCTTCTATTATCAGGACTTATTATACTGGTTTTACAGATAATATTACAAAGATTAACAGAAAACAATTTTTATTTTATTTCATATACCTGTATATGAAATAAAATAAAAACACCTAAACTGGTGCTCCTTTTGAATTTATTTTAAGTGGCAGAATGATGAAAACATTTCTAATAAAATTATTTCTTACATAAGAATTCATTATATGGAAGCTCCTTTAAAAATAAAGTCAGAAATGTCTGCTGGAATTGTTGAAAATTTAACAAGCATTTAACAGATCAATTGTAATAAAGCTTCTTTATCTTATTGTCTTTTTAGTTGGTTAATAATTTGGTGGAAGTGACGTGCATCGTAAACGTCAGCGACCAACAAAAACAGGCAATTGCCATTCACACGGCTGAAAGAACCGCAAAAAGAAATCCTTTGAAATTAAGCTTTCGATCTGATAACGAAATGGAAGATTGGGTATTATTCACTTTTGATTGATCCCCATAAGTTTGTTTACACATTTGAGACTAACACATTCTAATTGTATTTTAGTTTTCCACTCTCTGTAATGTTAGTTGCGATCTGTGGAATTTGAGAGGAAAACCCGAAAATACTGCAATTTGGTCGACCACCGTCAAAGGAGATATTTACATCAGCAATTGTAATACAGATTTAAATCATTCTTCCTTATATAACATGTAAGTACATAAGTTTATCGACTTAAAATAAATTTTAAGAAAATATTATAATTGTTAAAGTAAAATTTACTTCAGAATATGGAGGTTACTGGGAGGAGGACATTTGAACATAGTGGAAACTTGTAAGGCGGGAGTTGTTTGGGGGATCGGTTATAACAACACAGTGTGGGTTTACACCGGTGGTTACGGAGGAGGAATATTCAAAGGTTAGTTGAAAGAGATAATTTGATAACATTCTTAATGTTAAAATTATCAAAACAAATATTTTTGTACAGGAATATCCGGATGCAATTTAGGAATCTATTCCATGACGGACGTTCGTCACGTCTATGTTTACGAAAATCAAAGGTGGAATCCATTGTCGGGATTTTCTCAGAGGAGACTTCCCACCGATCGTTACATATGGAGCGACAAAACGGGTCATTACGAATGCACCAAAGAAAACACTCATCTACCTTCTAAACATTGGCAATGGGTACGACTGACATTTCTGTACTATTGTTTAACATTTTTTAATTATAGAAAAAGTAAGAAACAATGCATTATTAGATATCTGATTGGGCTATAGATTATCACACTCCAGGAGGCGTCGACAATGCGGGATGGCAATACGCTACTGACTTTCCTTACAGTTATCACTCTCACAAAACATTCACTGATTACGTTCGAAGGCGAAGGTGGTTCAGGTTGGTTTATGATCCTTAATTTTACCAATTATTTAATTGCGATTAATTTTACGCAATTTTTCAGGAAGTGTAAATTAAATACTACGGGGCCTTGGCAAGAACTAGGAACCACTCCTTTGATCGACGTCTCGTTTCAAGTGGATCATTCGGGCAATCCTAACGAGCCGATAGCTACGTGGGCCGTGGCCACTAACGGAGATGCCTTGTGCAGAATTGGTGTTACCTCTTTGTGCCCCAAGGTAAGGGCATTGTCGAGTACGTGGGTTTCAAATTAGAAAGAGAACCTCTTCTAAGTGAGTTTTATTTTAGGGAATAAATTGGATTCACATTCCCGCGGATCAGTCTTTTAAGTCTATCAGTGTCGGAGGGAGTTACAAAATCTGGGCCATCGGTAAAGACGGGTCGGCATTCCTAAGAAACGGCGTGTCTTCGACGAATCCAACAGGTTAGTTTCTTGTACCGTTAATTAAGTTTCAGTGCATTGGCTTTAACGATTTCTGTTCGCAAACAACGAACAGGTTCTCTGTGGTTCCACGTGGAGGCTCCGCAACATCCATTATGCCAAATTTCCGTAGGGAAGACGTCTGTTTTCGCCACAGACGAGAACAAGAATCTTTGGTATCGTCAAGAGATTGTACCAGTGTTTCCCGAAGGAACCTCTTGGAAACTCGTGTGCTCGAATGTCAGAATGGTGTCCGTAGGACCCGACGATCAGGTACTTACTAATATTTTAAACTAACTTATACTCTAAATGGTGATTCGCAAGTTTTTGCAGAACCATTTAACCGAATGCACGCGAATGGGTGAATAGTTTCGAATTGTTTTATATTTTAATGGAAAATATTTGTATATTTGTAAGGTGTGGGCGGTTTTAGAGACCATCGAAACGGAACAGGGAAGTATTTCTGGTGTTGTCTGCCAAAGAGAAGGCGTTACCGAAGCTAACAAAATTGGTACCGGATGGACATCAGGAATCGGAGTAAGTACCACTCATTTGTCACTTCTATTTAGGCACGACGACCTCTCTCGTTAACTTACGCATATTGTTTATTCAAGGGTGGATGGCAGTACGTTAGCGTTCGCGGATGCGCATCCACGAATCTGGACGCCGACGCCGTATCCTTCGAAGGAACAAAATCGAGCAGGGACAACACGGTTCTAGGATAGACCTCATCTTTTGTAAATTTTAATGTATTTATCGAATTGTACAGAATAATGAAGGCGAATTTTGTGCAAGATTTATATCGTTATACTCTTGTTTAATAATTGTGAAGCTTGATGTTGTAAATAATAATGTTAAGAATAATCGTTCTAGCGATCGTTCGTAAATCGTTAATCTTACATCGTCGTTAAACGATGTAATTACAATAATTCGATATTAAGTTTCAAAAATTAAAATTTTATATTTTAAGAACTTACTTTGTAATTCCTATTGATCATTCGGATAATAACCGAACGTTGTTAGAATTTCTATACATGCCGAAAAAATACACAAGCATTATGTAAATAAACATTTCTGTATCAAAATAAATCGATTTATTTAATGTATCGGTTACCAAATTGTTCCGTAATGTTTCCCAAAACATTACGGAACAATTTGGTCACTAAACGAGCCATTTGCATTGTGTCTGGACACAATAAAAAATTTACGCCATTATGCAGAAGTTTCGTTTGCAAATACTTGTATTCACACATTTCCTCGTTTGTTTTTTTACGTCTAATAAATATTCAATGTTAAATCGCTGTTCTTGCAATAAATTTCCCGAGAACAATAGGCAAAGATGCGGGTCGAGCGGATAAGTATAAAAATATTTTTAGGACTGGTGGAAAAAATTGTTCTACAAAAACGTATCCATCTTTGCCTCATCCGAGGGGCATTGTTTGCTTATGTTTTTGCTACGTACACAGGTATAACAAAATTTGTTACGCATCAATAGGGCCAAACGATGTAAGATGCCCGCTAACAACAGAATAATGAAAGCTTTTACACGTCTTCTCCTATATATAAAGTTAGTAGTCGCAGAGAAACGCATTTGTTAAAAAAAAACATTACGCACGTTAGCGCGTTACAGCTTCACGGGGTCCCAGGCAAATTTAAATGAGGGGTTCTTACATAGTGTAGACTTGGGGCATTTTTTGGGTAGAAATATTTTCTTAAAGATTGGTTTGGGGTTCCGGGCAATTGCCCCCTTTTCCCGTAGGATAACGCGCCACGGCACTTTTAACTATATTCGTTCTACCAAACCCACAAATCTCTCATTTTTTGTAAATAATTTGATTTCCACTAAAAAAAATTATTGGAAAAATTGTTAAAGGTAGTACCAGGGAACGACCTTCAGCCAAATAATAAATAATTTCTTGTTGTAAACATCTGGAAATAACATTTTATCGAAGGGCGAGGCTAATTGTGGAAGATGCGATGGGAAATTAAATTTTGTCGGTACGGCATCTTAAAATGTATGTTTGGCGGCTGTTATATGTATATGATTTAAAATCTATTACTGTATATTTAAATAAAAGCTAAATATACAAAAAACAGTTTTCCGTTCATAGACATATACAGTTTTGAAATACAGTATGAATACCCCGACTTCGAATAATTACGGAAAAAGCTTGATTTTAAAATTTACGGTTTTTTACGAACAAAAAGGTATTTAAAAATGAAGCAATAATTAGTTTAATTACATAAATTATTACACATGGAATATAAAGACAACAACCAATCGATTAAAGACATATACTATATTTAAATAATTTAGAATAATACCTTACAGCAATCAGAAATTACTACCTTTTCAAACATGGCGAGATTTTACAAATATTTTGTGAAGAAAATCTCCAGTAAAATAATTTATTTTTGCATTTTACTTCCCTGCTGTTATGTATACATAATAAGGGAAAGTATTGTAAATTTGACCCAGTTTTTTGCAAATCTCCACGTTTTCAAACGTCCCGAATACAATAAAAATTAACAACGAGTAGCGTAACGTTCCCAGCTGTTATGAGATTTTAAAAATCACTTTTTAATTTTTAATCATAAATAATTATATGTGGCGCTATCTATTATGAGATTTTATCATTATTTTTCGTTATTTTATAATAATTAAAAATATATAAAGGACTTAAATTTTGAGGGTAGAGATGGGACATTTTTCAGTAGGATTAATACAGATTTTCTTATTAATAATACTACAGAACTTTCATTAAACCTTAAAGTACAATGAGACTTAAAAGAACAATATAATTTATAACGAACATTCAGTTCTGTCTCAGACCAATCCCTCTGTATACTTTGTTGACAATAAGATTTTATAATTATCGGCAAGTTCCTTTTCCAGAGAAAACTACGACCAGAATTATCCAATATTTTCTTTAACGAGAGTGTGTCCAATTAAAATCTAATAATTCTAATATCGAGTATAAGTTTAAACATTCTATTGTGACATATAATGATCTGACATTTCCAAAATTCTTATCCATAACTTAATTATAAGTATCTAAAGGCCACACAGCCCTATTGCACTTTTTTGCACATAAAAACAAACCCGAGGATGAAAATGGTACTCCTAAATATATATATTCTGAATTTCTTCAGAATATCCAGTAATTGACCTTTATAACACCATTTATCACGATACCTTTCCACCTTTTCTAAAAAATCATCTTTATTCCATCACTTTTATTTAAAAATTAATTTGGCTAAAACAAATCACAGAATTACGTTAAAAATATATATATATTTCTGTAGCAAACTTTGAGTATCTGCTATAATAACTGTGTGGTCAGGATATACATCAATATACGAAGCTCTATCACCAGAAATAGACAAACTCCGAAGACCAGACAGATTGATACCATCCACAAGTTCATTAACATATAAGGAAAATAACACAGAACTTAAAATTTACCTTCAGAACAGAATTACCTTCAAATTACCTTCAAAGTAGGAAAATGATTGGACCCTGTCGTAGATAAAATTCACTCAACAATTTCTACCAAAAAAAAGATTACTCGAAACCATTGTGAAGTCCATTACGAGAAAAAAATGTAAACTTTCCATATTTGTTACCGATGAGTGTGTCATTTAAACAGATAAATTCATTATACATACAAAAGTTTTTAAAAATTACTTATTGGAAAATTATTATATATGTGTTAGATTGGTCACTCGGAGGATAAACCCTTATGTAAGTGTGACAATGCCGAAGGGCCTCCCTATACTTCGGCACCACGTGACCGAAGGGTCGACATCGCAATGACAAGTTTCGTCAGGACTGACACCACTGTGTCTTCACGGCTAGACACAGAAACCGTTTCGTTCGGGCGTGAGCGGTCGCGTGTGTGAGCGAACAGAGTCGGGATGGAAGAAGAGACAGCGCACCGGAAGTGACTCACTCAGAGACATTTTAACGTAACAACTGTTTAATGGTTAACGACAGGCTATACATTAAGGCTGCTGTTAGATACATTTCTCGATTTTATAAGTATTAAGATATTACGTTTTTCCCCGATTTGAGAGAGAGTTTACAGAAGTTTCGCGTGTCGATAAATACCTTTTGTTTTTGCTGTCTTGATTGAGATTCTCGAGCGTTCTGGGTGAAGGAAAGAAAGTTCGGGTATCCGGTAGAGGAAGTATCCCTACCGATACTTCCTCTACCAGATAAGAATGATAGAACGTACAGTATCCGCAAGGGTGTTAGACGATGGTACGATGTTTTCCGATGATATTTTAGTAGGATATAAAAACGTAGAATAAAATGATAAATTCACAGATATCCGAATATTGAAGCACTTAGGACAAGGTACGAGTGACAACTTCTCTTTCGAAAGACGGGCGACGACTGCCTCACTTTGTTGTCTGTTTTTCATGTTGGAGTGTTGAAACGGTCGAAAGGTGCTGAGAAAGCGTCGTTATTAAGCCTGAGAACTTAGCAGATGTTTAGCTCCCAGGTGTAAAAGTTGACAGTTATTGAATGAAAGTATAGCTACAATGTGAAATGATATAAACACACGAAAAGTCCGAATTCGGATCCTCACATAAGATAACCTTTGTAAACCAAATATTAATACTATAATACAGCAAACATTAAAACAAAAACCATATAAAGAGTTTGGTTATTTCAGCCTACCAATGTCACGTTTATCGCGATACTCGGATGGTACGAAATAGCACAACTTCAATGGTCAAGTAGACAGGAATTAAAAAGATGTCTTAATTTTTTCAGGTATCACAATATAGTGGGTGATCGGTTAACCTCAATTTGGTTTGGATGCCGTTCTGACATCCTCCCACTTCTTCAAAAGATCTTTAATAGCAAATGTCGGCATTGATCCTCTTTTGTCTTTCTCTTTTTTCAGCAGAATTGTTCTTCATTCAAGAGTTCTTGAAGTTCTGTCGTCAGATCAGTTTCCGCTATGAGCTCTTCAATATCATCTTTATTCACCTCCAATTCCAGATCTCTAGCAGTTATCACAATTTCATACATAATTTCGGGGACATCATTTCTTTCTCTCCCCGAATGCAGGAGGGACACAGCTTTCGCCAAGCGGAACAACTGTCGTCGAATGACTTCTAACCACGCCTTTTGAATGAGCCGTATAGCTTCAAGAATATCAAAGTTTTCTTTCCAAAATGTTTTTAATGTCATCGTCGAAGAGAACCGGCACGCTTCGAAACACCGACGAAAGCGTACTCGAATAACAATTTCTCGAAACCCGCAATAACCTCTTGATTCATTGGTTGAATCAACGAAGTGGTATTCGGGGACAGAAACTGTTGTCAGCCAGGAAAAGTCTTCCAGCAAATTATCTTCGAGGTCTTTCGTGTGTCCCGGTGCATTGTCCAACAGCAACAGTTCTTTTAACGGCAATTCTTTGGTCTGAAGGTAATCCTCGATGCTTGGAGTACAAACTTCAAACAGCCAATCTTTGAAAAGAGCCACGCGTGACCCGTGCCCTTTTATTCGATCTCCGCATCACTGGCAGTCTTTCTTTAATTATGGAATTTTTTCGAATGCTCTCGGGTTTTCGGGTGATAGACAAGAAGCGGCATAAGCTTCATATCACCGCTAGCATTAGCTCCCAAAAGTAACGTCAATCGGTCTTTCATGGGTTTATGCCCATGAATATTTTTTTCGTCTTTCGTGATGTAGGTACGGTTTGGCACGCGCTTCCAAAATAAAGCGGATTCATCACAATTGAAAATTTGTTGTGGACAATATCCTTTTTTTAATGAATTCTTCTCCTCAGCTGCTTCTTTATCGGCACTAGCAGACTCACCGTGAATTACTATATGTTTAATGCCAGATCTCCTTCTAAACTTTGCAAACCATCCAGTGGTAGCCTCGAATTCTATTTCCTCGTGTGACAAATGTGGAGTTTGTTTCAAAAATTTCTCTAGCTTTCTCTTGAACGATAGTCATACTAGTTGCATCTTTTTTCATTTCCCTTTCTTCTATCCAAATTAAAAGCAATCTCTCCATTTTTTTACGGATGGCATATCTTTGTTTCTCAGACGTGATTTTCGTTACTTCTTTAGCTCCTCGAGTCTTCTCGATTACATCTTTCTTAGCAAAGATTGTGCCTACTGTAGACCTGTTCAAGCTAGAGTACAGTACCTAGATTATCAGAACAGCGACAATGGGTTGTCAAATTTTCTATTGTTTATTTGTATCGTGTGGTTAAAATCCGCCGTGTTCTGACAAAAATTGCGCGTAGATCTAAGTGTTCTTTAAAGTCGTTTATAAAAAAATCTAGAAGCTTTTGAACACATTTGACAACAGATAGACACGAATTTGCTATATTTTTATGTTTACGTTCATATTTAAGCTTTAATCTAAGACAAATGAGAAAAAAAGTCGATAGTTAGCGTAGCTGTTTACATTACATGCAATATCCATTAAAGCGATATTATTAAAACGAAAAAAATACATACAAACTGTTTGTATTGTACAAAAATTAGTGTAAGGTAGCAAAATATAACCAAAAAGGAAGGAAGAAATTAAAGAGTAATGCCATTCTAACTTTGTTTTCATTCACAGAAAACCGCCATAAGAAAGATCCTCGGCTGTCATAAAACAAATAAAGACTGCAAAAATTACTTCTCCTGTACGCCCTACTCATACTACTGTTACACCATCAACAAATTTTGAAACATCTTCAACATTTATAGAAGTTTAAGAACAATTTAAAATTAATTTTGGTATCTCAATATTTAAAAAAATGTGTCGAAAGAGAGTTATGACGATGATGACAGAGTTTTTAAACGGACCAAATATTTAAACTCGGCACCCTCGAAAACCGCTTAAAACATATTGTGTGTTGTCCGGTAACCTCGTGTTAAATCATTTTCTTACTCGAATGCCATCATACCCGTGGATTCCATAAGAAGAAATGACTGTTGTGGAAGGGGGTCGAAGTAATTTGACCAATAATAGTCGTTGACCTCCTCCCGGAAGAGAGGATGGGCTGGATCACTAGTAAGAGAAGTGAGAAAATTGCGACCATGTCACAATAAATAATCGCTGGCTAGAATTACTTTTATTTGGTTACGGCAACACTACGCGTGAGCGATCCGCCCGGGGAATCCTGGATAGACTTATGCCCTAACCCAAAACTATAATCTAATAATTTTAATCTTTGTTACCGTTAATTTTAGCCCGAGCAACGCCGGGTTCATCCGCTAGTATAATTATATTCAGTTTATTATTTTGTTAAATTTTCTGCCAATAGACGGCACTACGTGTTATTCATAGAATCTAATGTAAATAGAGACGAATTGATTTACATAAATTTAATAGATATTTTGGTGTGAAATGTAGCGCATTATTTAAGTTAAAAGTATGTAAACGTAACTGCCAAGTTTCGTAGCAATTGATCGAACGGCCTAGAAGCGTTTAATGAACAAACAAACATTTCATTTATGTAAATAGACAAACGTGCTCCAGTTGTTTCGTTCTAGCATTAAAATCTGCACATAAAACAACAACACTGTAGTCATATATTCATCTAAAGGCTGTCCTCTGATAGATCATTAACGTTTCTTGTCCTCCCTACAAATACCACCTACAACCCATTTCGTACCTTTCTCGTATTTCCTTTTGCAAACCACAGTCTCATCTATCTCTACGGTCTTTCCCGGTCCTCCAATTTTCGTATTACTTAAATTACTCGACGAAACCATTATTACGTGTCTAATGTAATTTGCCCAATCAACGGCAGTTCTTTTACAGTGAAAGAACTGCCTTACAGTACATACACGAACAGCCAATACACATTAATTAAATGCGATATAAGGGAAAGAATACTCGACCGGGATAAATTGCCACATTTTCCTTTAAAATGTCCGCTTATGAGGGGGGCATTTTAATTAATGTTACATTTCCGACACCGAAAACTAACACAATTTGCATCACTTCTGAAGCAATTTTTACACTCGCCATTATATTTAACACAAAAATCAGATAAATAACGAACGAAATCCACAGTGGTCCAATTCTTAAATTCCATTATCGAAACAAAAAAAATAAATAAATTCAACAGAGAATTTAACGACTCACACACTCGAAAATATGCAAATTAGCAGTTCGAGGATCGCGAGGTGTCTGTCAGACGCCTGGTGGCAGTTTTTTTCAGCGGCATTTTCCCCGAAATTTTTCAAAAAAATTCAAGTTGTCTCTGCGCGATCTTTCGGGTAGGAAAAATTCGGCGTAAGAAAACACGCTCGCGATAATCGCGATTATCTTTTTCGCTATCAATTCTTTTCTCCCAATAACTTTTTTTTTTTATTATTTCAAGAAAAAGATCGATTTTAGCCCGATTTTGAAGCGAGATATAGCAATTTATTATTACACTTAGCGAAGTCTCATTATACTTTGCGAGAAATCGCGTTGTGACCCGCGAGAAATTACAACGACAAAAATTTTCAAAATTAATTACTCTAATACAAATTGCGCTAATTGTACAATTTTTGTTTCTTGCCTAACAATTTCATTTAGGTATTGTCTCAAATGCTTTTTTTTAAATGAAATTTCGAGAATATTTTTAGTTATATATAAACGAATTTACTCATTCGACATCGTGTCGTATATTGCCGAATTTTTGATGGTCCACCCTTTATTTTTTTGATTGCTTCATTTCTTGCACAGAAAACCTTTATATCTAAACTAGCAGCAAAGAATTTTGATGGTTTTTATAATATTTTGAGCCATGTCCATTTTTAGGTCCAGGTGATCGACTTCAGCCTAACACGCGACTATGTCACATTAAAAATTAAAAATAAAATTAATATATGAAGATGTAAGAAAACTATCTGTTAAATATTGAAAAAAACATTCTTACGAGTAAAATGAAGTAAAAACTTTGTCAATTAGTCGATTTACAACTCAGAAAGAAGTGTTTGAAGTAGTCATGAAACAATTAACGTTTATTGACTTTCGCGGTAGGGGGTAACACGGGGTTTGTTGACAAATTTTCTCGCAGTGGTGCGAAATTTCTACTCACTTCGCTCGAAAGTGTAATATTTCTTCCCCATTTACAAACAAACCGGATGGCGATCGGTGAAACAGGAGATAAATTACATCGAGTTAAAATTTGATATGTTTATTTTTTGCGTTTTTCGTATCAAATTACATTAAATTCGACGCAAACAAAGCATTTGTGTCGATATAGTGTAATAATAATTTTTGAAGCGAAGCCAATAATTTTACAATTTTAGAAAAAAAAAAAAAAAAAATGGGTTCTGTGAGACGCCACGTGACCAAAATGCGGTGGGAAAGTCACGCGATCCCGGAAGGGTTAGTTTCGTGCGAATGATAAGCCACCCGCACGAAACTAATTTGCATATTTTTTCACACGTACACATTTACGCTGTAAGATAACTTATTTGCATACGAACACACAATGTCACCGGCGCCGCCTACCACCATTTTTAATCGCGTCTGCGCTCGAGATTCCGGAAAAGCGATGGTCCCAGATAGTAAACTTCTATCGTTACGACACAATCATTATCATACCGTGTTTCAACCAAACAAAACATCTCTGCCGAATAAATTAAATTCCAGAACTCTGTATTATTTTATTTCTCAAAAAGACACTGTGGCCAGGTTGGCCTTTTACAAGCATCTTAAATTAAAATCAACAAAACCAACAAAAAAGAATAAGTAAAACAAAAACAGGGCGCGAACTGAGAAAGAAAATTACATTCTACCTCAAGTCTAAAAGTTAATTGAGGACAAACATCACTGTGGTTTAAAGTTTTTTCCCCTTTTTTACATTCTTTTTCAAGATACCCATTCCATAAAGTTTAAATTATAAATTGAACGCGTGTAACGATTTTGTGCCATCCGAAGTTTATTAACGGCGTATAGAGATGCGATTCCCAACAGCGATACCTTATCTATAGTATTATAACGTTCGTATGAGAATAAGTTATCGCTAGATCGTAGGCATACATCGGTATATTTCTTTCAATATTTAAGAAACTGATGTCTGGAGTGCTGTTTTTCAAACCCTCTATAGTATTATAGACTTCTAAGGCTGTTGTGTTGTGTGTTAGATTTATTCTATACACCAGCTATATTATAAACTTGTCCTCAAATTCACTACTGACATTGTTTTGAATAATCGTCTACACCAGTGTTTTTCAACCTGTGGGTCGCGACCCCCAGGGGGAGGGTCGCAAAGCCTTACACGGGGGGTCGCGGGTAAAAAGACAAGTGTTTGTAGGTCCTACACTACAATGAAAAAAAAACTACCATTTCAGTGAGAAGGCTGTACCTGTTTATTTTACAGTATAATTGGTTTTTCGATCGATATTTAGGTCTCAACAGAAAGAAAATTTAATACGTAGTTTTTAAAATCATTGATATAGTTTTAATATGGCCCTGGGGGGTCGCCAGAAGTTTTTAACTTGCAAAGCGGTCGCGTATTCAAGAAGGTCGAAAAACACTGGTGTAGACTACAGACTATACCCTTCACTTTAAGCTAGTCTAACCATTTTTCTTATCCTTTTCGAGTACAGAGATATCAGACTCTAAATCTACAAGTGCTGTATCGATGTTTTCTACCTCAATTACCGGATTTCCCGTAGAAATTTTGTCAAAATCTAATTAATTATTCCGTAATTTTGCCATTCGTTAACACCAGACTTACATAAATTCGTATCGACGCATCGGATCACCCCAAAAAAATAACAAATATCTCATTCTTACCTTTATGGACACTCTTAGCCACTTTTTCCATGTGAAAGCCCGTTCCTCGTAACCCGTAGAAGATGCCAATATACAAATTATATAAGATAACTTCACCTTAGCAGCAAAATGCACCTGCAATTCGCACGCCATACCATAGTCCCTCGCCTATGACGTCACTGAAGAAAAATACAATTCCGTCTTCTGTTTTTAAGCCCGAAATATTACGAAACTTCTTTTTCCATTCCGGACGTTAAATAATTAAAATGACATTAATAATCGTTAATTGTATTCTCTGTCGTGTTTGGCAAATAGTAAACAAAGCACACGCGTGATTTAAATAGATAAAAATTGCAGAGAAAATTCATCGATTATTAACGTGTAATTATTATAATTTAAATATATTTCCCCAACAAATTCTCACTTTAACACGACAATTAATACTTGTTTTTTCCTTGGTGTATTATTCTGTTATATGAGTAATTTTTTAATGATTAAATATAGAAATTCTAAGGATCACCATCACTGTCTTAGAATTAAGGAGGTGAAGAAGAAAAACAAAATCTCCCACGTGATCAAAAACCGATCGTTGGCCAAAACTTTAACAATAAATAATAGTAACAATGCAAACAATAGTGTGAAAGATCAGTTTTGTACCCCGGTATTATTCAATCGATTGTGTCGCGGTTACGGCGTAACCACAACTACAATTCTGTATTTTAAAACTCAAACATTCCCTCATGAGATCTCGTAATAGAATGATTAGAGATGGGGTAAGCCCTCTATTTAACGAACTAACTGTGAAAGTGATGTCTTCTGATGCCGTTAAATAACGAACTCCCAACTTACAGGATGTATTGTTATTACTATAATGATTTATATTCGCTGGTCGTCTTTAAGTAGTGTTCTTTCTGCGAATAAAACAAAGATTTTTTACATTTATAATTGAAATACGTTAAATCGAGGGTCTACTGTATTTGCGTATTTGTAGAGGCTTTGACGGGTGAGTGTAGCATTTAAATTTAGCCATTTAGCGCCGTATCGTTAGTGTGGTTACGAATGGATGCACATAGAAAAACAAAAGAGAAAAAAACTAGAAAGATCCGCCATGTCAATTAGAGTGCTTCATTGTGTGAAAATTAACAATTGGTGTTGAAGAAAAGTAGAAGCCGTCGAAGATAAGCCAAGTAAGTGAAAGAACGAAGGACATTGCTCCTAACACAGTCCGTTCGTGATTTAAAAACACTAATTGTTACTTCAAATCAGATAAGTTATCTTTCGTCTCTCATTTATTAACCTATCTTATCATTAAAGGATGCCTCGCTCTGTATAGAAAACATAAACTCGTTTTATATACGTGGAGGCCCTACATTTATAGCTCCGTAGCTTTATAGAGTTGTAAGTGATGATCCTAAATCCGCGTTAATAATTTCTCGTGTATGTACTATACACTCACTTTCGTGGAGAAAATTTGAAGAAACCTTTGTAAAATCGTTATTATGTCAGATCCTACTGGAGATACACCCATCCTCTTCATCTCCCCACCCCCACGACATTTAATCACCAAAATTCAATAGCATCGAACTCTCTAATACACAAACTCCCTCGCAAAATTTCAGAAATTTTTGACAGAAAGCATATTACTGAATACGAATCAGTAAAATTACGATTGAAGAAAGCCAGGGAACGGTAACGTCACCACGAGAAACCTTACTTAAACTTTCATTAATTGTATTTTGTTTGTGTTCAATTGTAGAAGGATGTTGGTCGTCGTCGTTTTACTTTTCTACCCCTTTGTTAGCGTGGTTGCAATTCCGTAAGTATTTTCCCCCCTCTAAAATTAAATTAAATTACCAATTTTAATTTATTAACTGTATTAATGGTAAACAGTGTAATAAATAAATAGAATTGATTCGTTTCAGATGCGACGGAACGGATCCATTCAAGCTAATCGTTCCTTTGGATTATAGAAAATCAGAGGCACCCGCCACTAAAAGTAATTATCACACGTGATATATTTATATAATATTTTAATTAAACACGTATTAACATTTTACAGAATCTCCGGTTCCCGTATACGTCGGTATTCAAATTTTCGATATTTATGATTTAAACGAAGAAACTATGGTAAGTTTTGTTCTGTTCTATAAAATATTTAGTAGTGTTTGAAAGGGGGTTTACAGGAGCTTACGTTCTTCTAACATTTAGGATTACAACATACACATGTACTTCGACGACGTGTGGAAAGATTACAGACTTAACTCGGAGTGTCTAAAAGAAAATAGACCCGTTATATTTCCGGAAGAGATGGCCGACAGATTGTGGACCCCCGACATCTATTTCGAGAACAGCAAGTGGGGAGAGTTGTTTCGAATTTCCGTTCCCAACATAAACGTAAAGATATATCGCGATGGTACCCTTTACCGATCCGCTAGGTACGTATTTGTACAATTTAATTACAGTACTTAGAAATATATACTAGCCTTGTACACGCAAAGTTTCTATACACGCAGGTACGTAGTTCGATTGAGCTGCCCGATGAATCTTCGATACTACCCGATGGACGTTCAAGTGTGTTCCTTTAAGATTGGATTATGTAAGATTTGTCGATTGGATTATCGTCGATTATTATTATTATTATTATTATTTATTAAAATTAGTTACTTTTATTAGTTGCTCATCCGAATTATTTAGCGGAACTTCATTGGTCGGAAGAAAAAGAATGCCCCAAAAACGGTATGATCTCTATTGAAATGTTATCTCCTACCATGCTTCCGCAGTTCGATTTGATTAACGTTAGCACGGGAAAGACGAACTCCATCTGGAGCACAGGTATTATCTGTTTACCTGTTGCGGCCGAAGTTTTCATCTTTAAAACGTGAACGTCGAACGTCGAGCGCCGCTATCTCGTAAGCGGCNAAACGTGAACGTCGAACGTCGAGCGCGGCGCTCGACGTTCGACGTTCACGTTTTAAAGATGAAAACTTCGGCCGCAACCACCCCAATAATTTACTCCTCTCGAACGATTCTCAGAGGGAAATCTTCCTCAGGTAATTACACTTCACTGATCGCAAATTTTACATTTTCGAGACACCTGACTTCCCACATAGTCAACACCTACATTCCGAGTTCTCTCGTGGTTGCTCTGTCTTGGTTATCGTTTTGGTTGAGAGTGGGTGACGTTCCAGCTCGAGTGACTCTAGGCGTTACGTCACTATTAACTTTATCTACTCAAATAGTACAGTCGAGAAGTAATCTTCCACCCGTCGCTTACGTTAACGCTTTAGACGTTTGGCTCTTCGTCTGCGTCAATATGGTGTTCTTCACAATTGTCGAATACGGTTTCTGTTATTACCTGGCCGAAAACCATTTTCCATCTTCGGAATTCTTCGGAAGAATCCAAATGTGGTTGACTAAATCGTGCGATAACGTGGTAAGTTAATCCTAATAACTCTATAAATTTCTCTTTACGGAACAAAAGTACAGTGAAAACTACTAATGCCAACGATCCAGTTGAAAGTGATCGTCTTATACAGGTGGTCGCATTAGCAGGTTTCACTGTATTCTTTACAATAGACCCCCTATAACACTGTTGATAATTGCGTGTTATATGAATTCCATGTTGTACGAGTCACTTAGATTTTAGAAATACGCGTGCCGGGATGTGAACGGTTCACGTATTTGTAAAATCTAAGTGACTCGTACAACATGGAATTCATATAACACGCAATTATCAACAGTGTTATAGGGGGGGTCTACTCGCAAGATTTGCATACTTCGAAAGACAATTACATTAATTTATATAATAAATCGAGCTATTTTAAGGGGTATTAATGAAGAAAAGAGGATATTTCTTAATCACTGTTGAAATTTTCTATAATTATCGTAGGTAAGAGAAAAGTTGGTATTAATTACGACACGAATAAAACATTATAAAAACACGATTGAATCGAACGAGGTTATTACCTGTAATATTAAAGTTGGTAGATAATAACGTGGCAATTATTTCGACTACTGATGCGAATAAATAATAATAATACGTTGCGCTCTTCTTGGCTTTAGGCACCGACGGCACCACTGGTCAACGAAACCAAGTGTACCACGTCACAACAGAAAACCAAACAGTGGCAAAAGGGAGAAGCTAAAACCCAGTCTTTGGATCGAATTTCTAGAATTCTATTTCCTATCACTTTTCTATTGTTTAATATATTTTATTGGCCTTATTACCTTTCGGCACACGGACGTTCCTCGAGCGGTTAACCAGTCACGTGTCCAGTTCTGTAGTCTTCTTACGCACTCTACGCTATTGTTATTCATTAAATAAACGTATCGACACATTGTATATACCTTTTTATTTATGATAATGTATAATAATTATTTATCGGATCTCTCTGTATTTGCAGTTTCTATTATCTTGCTTAATACGAATATTTTTATTATGTATGAAAAATAAATAAATAAAAAGTTTGTATTTTTATCGCTAGATGGCATTAGTGTTTATAAAATCAACCGGTAGATCGCGAACGCCGGAATGGCTTAAATGAATCGGTTTAAGTGTAAACGGTTGAGAAGCTACGAATTACACCGAAATTTCGGTACTTAATTATGTGGTTTATTTTTTTAAACGTTAATTAAATAATCCGCCACGTTTAGAGACAAAAAATATTCTAAAATATAAAATGAATTCTCACGAAAAAAATAATATTCCCAACAAACTTTATTTTAGGGAAAAAAAATTCACTTATTTTCTTAAAAAAAAACAACAATATGTATAGAAATTATTTAACAACAAATATATATATATATATATCCCAAAACCTTAAAACTAACCTTAAACACTAACTTAACACTAATAGAAAAAAAGGGATAGAATTAAGAAGACAGAAAAAGTNAAAGTAAAAAAAAAAAAATTTGATTGTATTTTTTGAAATTTTCTTGCCTCTTCCACGTCACAGTATTCTCTCTTTGATTTCGTTCACTCAATTTCGACGTCGTCGTGACGTCACAACTAACATTTTATCTCCTTTAATTGTACAATTAAACATTCACCTCGGACAGAAGTTGAAATTCGGAAAGAGATGACAATGAAGGGAGAGAAACCTGCGGGGGGAGAAAAAAAAATGAATAATAAATCCCCCTCCGATTGCCACACTGTAATTTAGTCACGTGGTACTCATAACCTTGACCACCGCTACCTTCTATTAACATGCAATCAATCCTGTTCGCCCCTAAAGTGAGGCGAACGGGGAGCGAAAAAAAAAAAAAAAAAGACACGAGATATTTCTGTCCATTTGAACTGATAAGTCCCATCACCTGTCCCCTATTCCATTATATAGTACCTATAAAAATGGTTTTCGGTAGCTTCTATTCGTTTACTCTTACTTAAACAATGGGTAACTTACCTAGTCGGATCGATTCTGGGATCGAAACCGTCAATAGAAAGTACGTTCATGTCTCTACCGTATCTAGAATAACTGAAGGTTATCTAGGAATAAATATAAAATATCATTTAGTATAATAAAGAATAAAAGACGAGAAGAAAAAAAAAACACTTACTTGATCGTTATAGTTTTCTGGTTTTAGAAATTTCATAGGTTCTAAATGGGAATGGAACTGTTCTACAACAGTGAGCTTCTTATTTAGTAGATGTTCTATTAAAATAAACACAGAAACTATCAACACACGTCTCCAATCTCGAAAATATTAAAGTCGTTACGTCTATCATCGGGGAGTAAACGATGATATTATATAACTTAAGATATTATATTCACCTATAATATATCCCATAGTAACATCATCTGGAAGACGTATTTTTTCACCGATGCTTATGAATTTCCCACCGCTGTAAGGAGAAGAAAAAAAAAAAAAACAATGATTTTTCTAAGTAGAATTAAAATAAGAAAGGATATAATTTTCTCTCATCAATTGTAATTCATCAAAATCGAAGTGTTTTCGGATCGCCTTAGGACCTAAAACATAGAGATAATATCGGATCAAAGTAGGGTGGAGTTGGCATTTGATACGCGTTACGAGTAATCGCCAAACTATATCTCTGGATGAATACATTACAATGGCATTCAACTTTCTAATTGCCATTCCCATTTATTAATTAGAGTCACCTGTCTCTAACGACTACCTACGGCTCTGTGCCATCTCATTAATTTACTATGTGGCTTTTTTTTTTTTATACCTTGTGCCAAGAGGAAATCTTATGTCTTAGTTGTGTGTTTTTTTTTTTTTTTAAAAGCCCGGAGTCATTAAAGTTCCTTGGAAAAAAGTCGGGGATCCGCAGGTGTTGGTTAATTAGTTTCGGCTATAAACCCCTTTTATTATTACTTAGATTGTGATTTATGCATACTTCTATTATAAAAGTTCTTCACGTTGTCGTTTTTATTATAATGTCGTTATCTAAATTTATTCTCGATTTAACGTGAGGAAGAAAGGGGTTGACAATTTTAACAAATAACGAAATTCTTTAGGTAGAGAGATAAGTCTGTATTCGATAGCGTGATGGTATATTTAATTATGTATATATATAATAATACATAAATTTTATTAAATAACTATCTCGTGGATCGGTTATCTTTATATTTCTCATTATGTTTTATTGAGCGAAACAATAAAACATACGAACTTAATGAGGCGAATTTTATCTACTTTAATCTAAATAATGGGTGAAAATGATCGTAGGAATAATGTATTATGTTAATTTATAACGAACAGAACGATTAACGTCGAGAAATATATAAAAATTCGGCGATTTTTTTTCTCTATTTAAGGACGTTTGTGTGTGGGAGAGGGGGCGATTTTGTTCGTCCTATTTGAAGCTTAATAAATCCCGTGCTTTTTGTTAAAAATTTCTGAAATTTTGCGGGGAGGTTCGTGTATTAGTGGGTTCGATACTATTGAATTTTGGTGATTAAAGGTGGAGGGGATGGGAAGATAAAGGGGGTCGTGCTTATTAACGATTTTACTCGTTATTAGTATTTAAAACTTGATCCATTATAGAAATTCTTATTAATACGCGAGTTAACTATTGTTTAGTAATTGCACTTTTCTACTCCGACGTTGTGTGATGGGATAGAGGAATGTAACGAAGAGCTGTATTCTATGGAAGGAGTAGAAAATGATCGTGGTTAAAGCTAAGGAATTGGTAGCTACTTCACATATCACGCGAGGCCAAAAGAGGCCACGAAGCGGGTTTCGACGTGAGGTTACGGCACCCACAGAATACCGAAATGGTTTCTAATTAGTGCAAGAATATACAAAAATAAGTGGACGTTTATCTTTAACGAGTTTAACGTTCTTATAATTTTAATCGACTCTTCTAAATGACAATCTTTAACGAGCCGGTGGTAATGACTAACGTCCACCAGATCCGGTACGCTCGATGTTATCTATACAAAGACAGTCGGTGGCCGTGTTTGACGTCATAAACAGTCGATGGTTCGGGTCAATTCTGAAGGGCGACCAGACTTTTAATTGAAACGGCATTCGAACGAGCTTGATGAATAGTAAGTTAGAAGGGGGGAAGGGCGTAAATGAATGGCAACCACCTGCATCGATTAACGTTGGAGATTCTTTATTAATGCGACTCGTCTAGGTTTTACTAAAGATTTCGATCTTTGGCGGCGGTGTTACGAATTAAATTGTCCTCCCACTCCGAGTCTTATGTAAATTTTTATATGTGTGGTGCCTACGCATCATAGATGGGAGCAAAATCAGCCAAATGAATCATTAATACTTAGCAACCGATCAGCATTTACTGGTTTATCAGGTTTGGTGAGATTCCGGTCAGTCATCTCCACACAACTAAGACCGGATGTACTTTTATTATAATTATAACACTGTAAAAATTTAGTACGTGTTATAAGCACGTACGACCGACGGAATAGATCATTTCTAAACTATAAATATATTTAAATTGTCAATCACTCACCTGGCTAACGGCATCATTTTAAGTGCCAATGCTCTACTTAAACAAAATCCGGCACCTCCCGTGGCAAACCAAAATGCTACTTTTTTCTGTAAAAAAAAAAAGAAAAAACTAAACAAATCCTAACAAAAATTTATAAATTTATAGAAAATTCTAATAATATATAAAGTTAAAACGGCGCCCGAAGCAAGTTAAACAATTGATTGACTAATAAGCCAAGCGGATACATACACTTCCTTATATTCTACAACCATTAAGTCGATGGTATGTAGCATGACCCCAGTCATTGGAGGAGACAAATTGTGACAAACGAAAGTAATTCTCGGTGATGGTGACTAATGCATTCATTAAGCCATGTCTATAGGGTTCACAGAGTAAATATAGTCATCCAGTAATGCAATTTACAAAGTAATAATATATATTTTAAGCACGAAAGATCGTTTGTGTCGTCTCGAATCTCGTAGCAATAAACAGAATTCACCTTGTGTGTTTTAATGACGTAGTCATTTTGCACGTCGAAAAGAGTTATACGATAACCTTTTGTTTCTTCTTCGTAACACGATAACATTCCATATATTGTGACGTGCACGATAACTAACGTATAAACATCCTGGACGTATTATATTATACATCAAAACGTTTGTAAATATTTTCTCACCTTGAAATTTTCTCTACTAAGAATTTCTAGGGGTGCTCTTATACTCGGTTTCCCCAAATACCAATCTTCTTGGTGATTATATTTTTTTAATAGCTTCACTAAACGTGGTACGTTGACATAATTATCGTCATCAAAATGACAGAACCACCTGGAAAAAAAGTACATTGTAAAGCCATAGATAAAAAAAAAAAACGTTCTCCCCCCTCTTCGACGTTTGTCTACTTCTTAAATTAACGTTTCTTTAATCATTTTATCAGCCGAGTTGAAAGATTTGTAATGGCCCGAGGTGAGGAGTTTGCGTGCGTGAATTTTTTTCCAATTTTTATATCAGTTCTGATAGCGTGATTCGGGGAAAACGGATCAATAATTACCTCGGCCATAACATCCGTCAGTGTTTAGAAAGCAACTTAAAAAAAAGAAAAAGCAATCGGTCATTCGAGAGACTCCGCCCGATCAGAAGTTGGTCTTGACAACTCCACCCAAAGGTAAACCAGTTAAATGACTTCAGGCGTCAACCTATAGTGGCCATTTGATGGTCGTTCTAAATAGCAAAGGAGATTACTTTAGAAGGTCTTCTAGTTGATTTTAGAAGACACTTGGGTTGTTAAATTAGCCATGGAGACGTCTTTAATCTTTTAAAATATCACTAGAGTAACTTATCAAATGTCTTGGGTTAAACAAGTTCTTATGTGTAACAGATCTTCTGTAATTGTGCCAGATGTGGTTCGTTCGGTGGGGGGGGGGGAAGAAAAATATATAAAAGTTAATAAAGTTTCGGCTGCCATTCAAATTAGTTAGTCAAATGAATATAATAAAGTTGACGGATTAACGAGATAAACAATTACAAATCCCACCTTTTATTGTTTTTAACAATTCCTCGATCTATTTCTCAGTAAATTCGTCGCTCCCGAATGACCTATATATAAAGTTTTCTATTGTTTATAACGTAAGAAAAGTGTTGTAAAAACTCGACCAGATACGACGTTCAATATTTACTTGACCCGTTAGTAAAAAGTAGAACTTACTTTTTATCGCTGTCGAGGAAAGTATCGAATTCCACGGACATCTTACAACAAAGAGCCTTCCTACAAATTAAAAAAAAAAAATAAAAAGAATTAATAAATGGGAATGCAAATGAAAAGATCTCGTTGCAACTTCTTAGAAAAATATTTAAAAAACGGTGTTATAAATGAATAAATTTAATAAATATTACGGGGTAAACGACTGTGGATATGTGTGAAATTATCTTGGTAATTACACGGGATGTATACGGAGGAAGAGTAAATGACCTAAAAACTGTTTTAATATTGTTAAGTGGTCACCAACCGGACAAATTAATGAAGAGAAAACGACGTCTTGTTAACCATTTCCTCATTTATCTTTTAATGGATAGAATACAGGAGAATGGGATAAATTAGATCAAGGACCACCAAAGGAAACAAATTGGTCCACTTATTCTATTTAACGTGGCATTTTCTCGCGCACCCCTGGCATTTGTATCTTATATAGAAATCGAGTGTGTACCGATGACCACCTGCGATTTTTAAAGTACACCATTCGTCTTTGTACAGATGTGGTCGAAGATAAGGGGTGCAATTTATGTTCTCCTAGTCGGTAACTCGGGTGCTCCATCAAGACAATTGATTTAAGTAAAACACGGTATCTAGTCGACTCCGCCACTAAATAAACAATTTTTTTTCGGGTTAAAGATATCGCTGACGTCGAAATTATTGGATAAAAATAAACTAGATACAGTTCGGTAGACATTTCCTTTTTATAATTTTTATTTAGGACAAACCGTATTCGAAAACTGAAGGGGGGAGGTATTATTCGATTGTTTCCGCGCGTGGGTTGTAGTCGAATTAAATAGCTTAAAGGCGAGTTATAAGTCAAAAATTAAACAGAACGCTTCGTCCTACGATCGAATCGAAGAGGTGACCCCACCCTTCCCGAGGGTCAACGACTCAATGGTTCGGAAAGATCGACTTACCTATTGTGTGAGGAAGAACAATTGGTGTTAATGAGACGTCCTCCTGCAATCGAGAAAAATATTTAATGGAAGAACTGCCAATGATCGATAGAACAATAGAAAAGATCCGAAGGCCGTTATCTTTACAGACAATGGGCACTCACGGCATCTTTATATAATGAAGTGTATTTATAGAAATACACGAAACTCACCCGTTTTCATTTGATAGAACGGGTCGTCGGCATCGGTGAAGAAGTACGTCTGTAAAATAATAAGATATAAATTACTAAATATAAAACGTTTGACATTTAAAATTTTGGACGGTGTAAGTTTCGTAATTCGATGTCCAAATGCTTAAAGTCATCGGGGCCATCCCGTATCTGTTTTCCTTAATGATGCTATTGTCCGCGACGATAGGCGATACGAAGTGTGCCTATCGGTTTACAAATTGGTTTTTAGGAAATTTATCGGCTCCGGCATCCGTTTTCGAAAGTCAAAACAGACGAATAGGTAGACAAAGCGCATTCATTAATCGTTCCCAGCACGGAACTTATCTCCCGCGGACTAAAAAACCTCTTTACAGTCCACAAATTAACGATGTCAGAAGAATGAAGACCCCCTTCTAAGGGATACATTAAAAACAACGTTGCTTTTGGCGGAATGTCGTTCACGTGACTCGCTTCTCGGAGCCATCCCCCGGGCTCTTCTTTATACGGTAGGTGGTGTGTTAGTTGTGTGGGTTTTTGTGTAGTAACGTGAGCCGGTATAGGGGAGAGTCGTTCCCACACCGGCCCAAACTCGCGGTTTACAATATCGACCGGTCCTTTTTCTGGCCGCCCGCAGCATTCACAATAGCTTCTTCCTTTTTAGTAAGAAACGGGAGTTCGAGATGAGTCATCGTCTTTATTCGATAAAGACGTAGAACCTATTGTTAACTAGAATGCAAAGATCGTGCTCGAGCCAGTCTGGTCATTTCACTGCCTGCTTGTCTGCCTCCCCCTCTCCTCTCCTCTCTTTCAAATCCATCGATAAAATTAATTTGCTACGAGAAGTTCCAAAAAATTTTCTTTTCAAAGCATCGGTTTCGAATTAAAAATACCTCCAGACAAAAATACTTCTAGTGTTATAACTACGCCTAGGGGTCTACATACAAATTCTTTTATGTTCGTGCCAACAGGGCATTCCAAAAGCTTTAACGTTAATAAACTTCTAGAAAAGGATACGTAGGGTTTATTATTTACTATATAATGTAATCCAAAAGTCAATTTACCTCTGTAAAGAGTAAATTTGTCATATCTAAATGCTTTATCACTTGTATTTTGTTTCGCTTGTTCCTACGAAACCAAACAAGGTTAATTGACTTTAGAACCCCTTATAAAATGAAAATAACACCGACCAGAATATAATAAACATATAATTATTTCGTTTAAAGAAAAAATGAGTAAAATAAACCCTCATTTACTGGATTTACGACAAAGTTTTTGGCCATAAATCCAAGCAAGTGGCACGAATTTACTGGATTTTAACACGAGTCGGGAGCGGAACGGATTTAGATTTTACACTTTATTTATCTTCTCGACACGTGAGCACGTTTTCTACACACCGGAAATAAAACTATATATAAATTCCGAGAGGAAGAAGAAAAAATAATTTCAAATCTTGATTTTCTGAACCGAAGAATTACCTGTTAAACATCGGACATCCCCGCCTTGTTTATTAATCGACTACGTTCGCGAATGGAGAAATGAGGGTGTTTTTCTGATCTTAGGGGGTGACCCACGCAATAGATTGGTCAACGAGTAAATTGTATGGAATAAACCTCGAAAAGAATGATCAAAAGTCTCGATCTAACGACGGTTATTGTTTATTTTCATAAATAAATGGACGGAATCGTATTCGACTCCGGCTTTATCTTTGACACCATTAACTATCGAATTTCGGACTTGGTTCCGTTAGCATTCTATTCCGGATCCATTAGAAGTCCATTAAAAGCGTTATTAATCCATTAAGGATAAAGAGAAGAGAATAACAGCGATAAATTAAAACGTTTACCCTAGACTTTGTTAAGCAAAAAGCGATGAATATTGTCTGTGTTAATGGAAGAAATTACGAGTGGGTCGACTTTAAATTCTTTACTTTCGGGAAATATATTGACACTAAATGTACTGTACGTAACTGCATAAGAGGGAGATGTACAGTATTTCTAATTTTTATAATTATTCTATTTTCAATTAGTGTTTGTGAAGTGTCGCGGCAGGGTAGTGAAAATATCTCTGTCGTCCACCCCCCGACAGTAGGACTACTTCTTTTAAGATAAATATGTTAAAGAATTTCATTTTCTCATTGGCAAAGCAGTTAATTATTTGGAGATAGCAACACTTATTTTGGAGAGGGAGAAAGGAATTTGTGGTGTAATTTCGCGAGTATTCTTAGGCAAATTAATTACGGAGTATAAACATAAGAGCAACAGGTGGCGAATGTAGAAGAAACGAAGAGTCGATAACCAGGAAACCTTTCATTGTTCTGACGCGAGGACTTCAATCATGGCGGTTACGGGGTGGAGTTGCGTGCACACGGTAGCCTGGCAGGTGTTAGGCAGAACGTCGCCCCGGGCGGGATAGTTCGCCACTGACCTACGACCTATTGCAGGTCTAGTCGACTAGCTGACTCCCAAACATCTGCAGGAAGTAATCACAAGTGTACCGACCACAAAATGCCATTTTTTTCTCTGGTGTAATGCAATTTTCCCGAAGATGCGGTCGGCCGATTAGTCTATTTATTATACTTTGCTCTCGGGCGGTTATTTTTAAGATGCACGAATGTATCTTATCTTTATTATCCTAAAGCAAACCCTATCGAAAAATAATTAGAGAGATTCATTTAGATAAAAGGGTAGAAATCGTGAGAACTCGCAACGTCTTCATTTGCATAAAACCTCGAAATTCCCCCGTCTTCAACTAGATTAACCCCTATCGCCGTAGAAGAATGAGTGCCCGGATCACCAGGTGTGCGACAAACAACGTAGTAGGTGGCTTTTATTCGCCACGAAGGAAACAATCCGATCGTTGGTTCGACCCCCGAACGTTCTTCTCCCTCTCTCTTTTCTTCCCCGAGGAGATTTTTGCCGTTCCAGTCGAGCAGAACCGGAGCAACAGATGGTGTCTCGATCATAAAAATTCCTCTCCTGCCGATTACTTGACCTTGTCTGCGCGATTGGCTATTAATATCGCGAATTTCCTCCAAACCGCCTCCTCCCCCCCAAAAAATATGCACGTTTACATTAATAATACGCGATAGACAAATCGGGTGCAAGCGAAATACCCAAAATCTCCGTAATAATCTGTTTGTCCTCCATTATTTTTCGTGTGTTTACCGTGGGAGTCTTGTGTCAATGCTGCCAAACAAAGCGGGTGGTGCAGAACCCCCACCGCACCTGGGGTACAAAACTTTTCAACACGGTGAGAATAAGTGAGTGCGGGGCGAGATGGAAGTTAAATTTTATACAAATTAAAAACTATTTACCACGTTGGCCCACGATGAGTCATTAAGATGAATCATTTCCCGTCCGTTACAATGGAAATTTATAAGAAAGGAGTCTAAGTTGAGTCGAGGCAATCGGAAACGCGCATGCGGATGTGCCCTATTGTCTGATGGCGAATGTTACGGGCAGGTGAAGTTCGTGTCACGTGCATGCCCCGTGCACCAACTAGGGGTGGACTGAATGCACGTGACCGAGTGTGCGGAACATATTGTCGGATTCTGATAACACGTGCACTTCTGTGTTACTAACAATCTCGGCAATTCCACGTCTGGTGGTCGCATCGTTTCAATTCTTATCAATTTGGCCACAGTAACATTTTCAAAAGCCCAAAGTACTGTACTATTTATTAAAAAAAACGTCCAGCGTACTGTACTGTACTTCACGAATTTTTAATATAGATTTTTGAATTTTTTATATTTTACAATCAACTTTGACTTAACGGTATATTAAGAACTTAATAGACGTATTAAAGTTAACAGGAAGAAAGGAATATTTATAAATTCTTTGGCTCAGCTTGCTGCCTGGAGTGCGACTCGCAGCTGGTCCCGCAATACACAGACGAAGGGGGAAAAGCGCTATTTTCCCCATGGGAACTAGGTGCCTCTACATCTTCCCACCACTTGTCATACAGTAGCAATAGCACAAGCATATGGTTGTTACTCCGATCACTAGTTTTACCTGACACGTGGCTTCGATGTCATCCAATAATTCGAAACGATGCTATTTATTTATCATTACTTTAAACGTTAATTTACGCTTTAAAAATTTAAATAGATAAAAGAATAAATAAGAGATTTATTCGAAATAAATAAAGAAATACGTGGGATTTCGAAAATTGGCCGATTCTTTTCAAAATTTCCAAGTTATTGTTACACCCTCGATTCTTAGAGAAAGGACCATTTCTAGTTTCGACAGCGGGATCCCCCAACCTACACTACCAACTTTTCTGTCAAAAGGAAGGGGCCCATTGTTAAAGCGACGTCACGATTGACTGACTTAAAGTGTTAACAAGCATCTATTTTTCATTCCTCGATAATTCCAACAAAAATATCAAAAGACATTTTTTTTCTTTTTCTTCCTCCTCTGCAGAAAAGACAAAGATGTTTTATGCACCGAAAACATTTCTGTTTATTTTTTACGCCAATATTATTCTTTTTTTTTTCCTGGTAGATTGGCCGTCGATTATTAATTGAAACAGAACAAAAACTGCAAATTACATCGCTCAACTTATTACACTTTGTTCCATTGTTTAAGTAATTATAACTTGTTTTCGTTGACATCCGGTACACTGGTAGTTACGAAGTCTTTTGTGATCTGGGCATATTTTTTTTTAACCCCCCTGGGCTATTAAAAGTCTTTTACCACCGCTATGCCATTACCTCAAACTGGCGTCTGAAGGTCTTCAGCCACTGAACCAAAGAAATCTCTTTTTTCACGCTACAGATTATCTAATAGATAAAGTTTTATGAATCGAGTTTGACTCCTTTAATTCCTTATATACATAGTGATTTATTTCAATATTTACGATCTTCTTCGTCTTCCAATTTATTATTATTATTATTATTATTAATATCATCAATACTTTTTCTTAATACGATTCCTTCGACAATCTTAATTAAAATTGTTGCAATTTTCTCCAAGTAATTATATTTAAAATCAATTCGTATTATTTAATTCCGAATGATTAAAACACATTACACTAAAGAAATGGTGTGTTAACGTATATCAAAGTTAATTAAGACGGGAGGAGGAAACACGATGATCTCTGAATCAGTCAACATTCATCTTTATTCTTAAAAGATTACCAGTCGATTCTCGAATTTCCATAGTTAATTTAGTGTAGGATGAATCCTTGACCTTCGTCCACACGAAAATCATTTATTTTAATTACTCTTTTCTATTCCAATTTTGATTTAACTCTTCCTTTAACTAGAATATCATCATCTTTCTTTTTTAATTTTAATTTTTATGTGGTACTTATTACAAAATCCGGTCTTGTTTGACCTCTTACGTCTAAGTTACTGATATAACCCTCCCGATGACAATTAAAAAAATACAGTTTAATACGTAACCTATCATCCACTCCATGTTTTTTCTTTTATCATCTATGCAAAATTGTAATTATATTTCTACATTGATCAACTTTATCATCAAATATATAACTGTGTTTAGGAATAAAGGGAGGGGTGGTAAGAATTAATTATAGTCTACATACCCGAATGAAATACAAACTGTATAAAAACGATAATTAAAAAAAAAATAATTAATAAATTATATTAATTACATTTTAAATTGCATTTTAAACTAAACAGGATGATAAATATTTCTTAAAGAGCGTATTTTTAACGTGTTTATCATCCTGTTTACTCGTTTCTTCTTAGATCCATCGAAGATAACTTCTTAGATCCATTTAGAAAGTAAAATTTTATATTTGAAAACGTTTTATAAGAATGTAAAATTGTATTAAATTAGAACACTTATTAAAAAAAATACAATTATATTCGGTAACGTTTTAGGTTGAAATGTGCGTAACATATGGGATAAACTTTCTAATCGATCAATTAGACTTTAACATCACGTATACGTTTTTTTATTATTAAGGAGGGAATAGAAAATATTCCCATTTATCAACACGTTGGAAGTTAGATTATTAGAAAATGTTGGTTTAATTGCTGTCAATATTACCCTCCTTATCTCAGTTGTTCTCAGATAAAACGGAGGTCGCACTAAGAATGACAAGCTCGGCAAGTAATGTGAGAAATAGCAGTAAAGGTCGTGGGATCGATTAGACCATCTAACGCTGGTTTCAATAAAGGAACCAGGGGAGAGCAAAACCACCAAATTGATTTATGCTCTTAAGAAATCTTTCTTTTTGGCTCCACATCCGCCAATTGATGCATTAAAAAAAAACTCTTTAAGAGATTCGAAATAGACCTCCTACAGAACGTTTTCGACAGAACTCGTCTATACAAATCACACGAGAGGACATTTCCTAAAAGAATTTCTTTTTTTTTCTTCTTCTTCTTCTTCTTCTTCTCCTCTTTACACAGTTAGGTCGGCAGATGAGACCGTGAGAAGGACCGATCGTATTACGCGTGACCCCGGAGGTTAAAGTTCGAGGGCCAAACTGCCATATTACCAGGTGGTTTTCTGTAACGGCCTGAGAACGGGATCGTTTCGTCACGTGACTTAAATAGGGTATAGGTAAAAAAAAAAAAGGAAAATTTGCTACTCACACCATTAATTTCTTTTTGTTGTTGTTGTTTTTTTTTAAAGCTCGGTAATTTAAAAAAGAAAAATGGGCGAAAACGTACGGAAGGAGGAAAAAGTACGAACGTTGGAACTATTTAGAAAAAATCGTGTTGTACGATCTTCCATTATCCGTATTAATTGTATTGTTTATTCTTTTTTAAGTTACTCGACCCCGTTCGAGTTAGAACTTCCTCGTTGGAAATAAAGGCCCGGTCGAAAAAACAATAAACCTAGATTTACTATTTTAAAAACGTTTTAAAGGAAAAATAACCTGGCGATAATAAACGATCCCTTCTCCCCTCCGAAATAAATATTTACTTAAATACTAATCTGGAAAATTATATAAGTTAGGTGGAGGTGAGAGGAGAGAACATTCCTCCACACAAAGATGCTTTGAGACTAACCTGATCTCTGGCCAGGACGAACCACGTTCTCAAGATGACATCCAACCTGGACTGGTGGAAATTTTTGGTAGTTTTAACACTTATGAAAATATCGTCGAGCGATGTGCCACCAGTTACGTTTTCGGATTCTTTGAGTATCGATTCGTTGTCGTCTGCCACCGATCTGGGAAGACGTTGAGCCGAACGTTTTTCCGTCTGGTTGACGTCCACCCATGCCTTTTGGCCTTGCCACACAACAAACAACGTCATGTAACACGCTATTAGAATGGCCGGAGCCGTTCTTCTCACTATCTTCGCCATGTTGCCGACTGGCACCGTCTGCTCTCTCTCGTCGTCCACGTTTCTCTTCGAACTTCCTTTGCTACCGAGCATGCGCAATAGGCACGGCAGGTGGTTCGGTTTCTCTCCTCCCCTCTTCTCTCCCATTGGTGGACTAAAGGTGATCAACAGGTGCTACCGTACTTACTTTCCTGTCAAGTAGCAGCTCGTCGCATCCTAACCAAAGAATTCTTCCATTTCCACCTTATAAATACTTGCTAAAGTTTTTATTCTCTTGGTATTTTTTTTCTCTCCCTTTCTCTTATACTGTGTTATTTTAAATCGCCTTCGGTAATGCTGGTTTGTGGCCAAAGAAACCAGCTTATATCCGCATCCTCCTAGTCTATCCGCATCCGCCAAATGATTCGACCTCCGCATTCTTCGAATATCATACGTAATAACGGGTTAATTTTAAATACGAGTAGTTAATTACGTGATGTATTTTACTATTTATTAGTAAATAAACTGCTTAAATTAATTAAAGAACAATTGAATCGCCGTCTCCGTTTAAAACTTAATTATTAAGCCAAATTAATAATAAAAGTTTCCTTATAAAATCTATCTCTTGTTATCATATTATTCTTTAATTTTTTTTAATAATATTTGTAAAAATACTTAACGATATCAAGTTCCTAACGTGATAAGACCTCGAGTTACATTAGACTTTGTTTCGTTAGTCTGTTTGTCGACTCGAATAAAATAATGTTTATTCTAATGCAGATTTTATGTCTCGTTATGTCTAGATTAAGGGAAAGACAGACAGACGGGACGTAAAATATCAGGTCATTAAAATCGATTATACTCGTAAAAAAAACCGAAAAAAAAATTAGTACAGCGCTCTCTCGCTAATCCGGCCATTCGGAGGGGGGTGCCGGATTACCGAGTGTGCGGGGAAGGACTTTAAAGGCGACGAAATCTATTTGTATACCCGTTTGTGCCCGTTTTGTAAACGTTAATGGGAATGGGCAACTTAATTTAAGCAATAAGTGTATTGGCAGGTGGTCCTGGTAACAAAATTGTGCACAATAGTACAGTAGAAGACCCCCTATAACACTGTAGATAATTCCGTGTTATATGAATTGCATGTTGTACGAGTCACTTAGATTTTACAAATACGTGTGCCGGGTTGTGAACGGCTCACGTATTTTTAAAATTTAAGTGACTCGTACAACATGGAATTCATATAACACGGAATTATCTACAGTGTTATAGGGGGGGTCTACTGGTATTTAGAGACACATTCCGAAAGAGTGTAAACACTTTGCAGTTTAGGAATTCCGTTTATATCGATATTTTCTTAATAATTGTTAATTTAAAAAAAAATTAAAATTAAAATTTATAATCGACATTTTAAATGAATAAAATAACAGTTATAGTTTACTCGATTATAAAAAAAAATTGCCAATTCATTAAAATATAATCCATTAACGTACTAGTGCTGCCATCTGTTGTCCGAAAATCGAATATATTTACGTTAAATTTTATTATTACAGTATTATTATTTACAGTATTATTATTATTCTGTAAGCTAAATATAAAAACAGGCACGAAATTCGCACATTTTTGAAGTGATTTTCGTGGAGCGGAATACGAAGCGATTTTGTCTGTCTTATAAAAACAGAATAAATAAATAAATAAACAAAAAGATACAATAAATAGAGTTCTAATAAAGATAGAACGTAGAAACGTTTTTTATTCCAAAGCTAAAAGTCAATATATAAATATGTATTCGATAATTTTTTACATATTTGGATTCAGAACACTTTGAAGTATTGAGATATGCAGAAAATTCGGTTTTTTATCCTGTATGTATGGATGTTAGACTGTGTGTGAAGGGCACGATTTTGTTCATCCTGTTTGAAGCCTAATAACTAAATATGGCGTGAAACTTTCTTTATTCACCCAACATGCTGGTGTCTTCACAGGTTCTACACTTGAAGAAAATGCTAGAAACAAAGCTTGTCCGATGCTAGCCGCCATCCGGTATTACCCGACCTTCCCTTATCACAGAACAGAGAATAAAGAAATTAAACAAATTTGACGCCAGAACAAACTGTCCTAACACGTTTTTCTTCTAATTTCGTCACACATCTTGGGTAATGCCGTCATAATCTACAGTACAGAATTACGTAATAGTCGCAGTGTTTTACAAAATTAATGCAAGTTTTTCAATATTTATTTAGATCCCAGTCAAAATAGTCAACTGTATATAGCGTATTGTTATTATTTGAAATGACTACCTGCAAGGAAGAACTATCAGTCTCAGTCACATTAAACTTTCCATCGAAAGCATAATATACCCTAGCATAATATGGCAAAGAATTCTACAGAACACGTGATGAAGTCTGTTATCTGTGTCAATTTATTCATTAATTCGAAATAAACGAAGAAATTTGTGAAGTTTAACGCGCGCAAAGGACCAACAGAAAATTTTTAACGTCTGCGCATTCTGCCATATTGTCTGCAATTTCTGCCAAAAAAACTCATTCACACGTGGCAACGAGACGACTGAATGGTAAAATGGCATCACTTTTGCCGTGGCGGAAAGCGGGAACGGTACAAATTAAAAAAATAGGAAGGCGTTTTAGAAACAGTATAGTGGAATTAGAGCGCTTGAAGTGTCAACGTGGCCAAAAAGCGTGGTACGTTCGACATCGGGCTCGATTAATCGCAATAACTTAATGAATATTTCGATAGGCATTGGAAGAAACCTCCGGTTGGATAAAATATATTTCATTTATTCGCTGTATTACAATCCGAATTAAATATTAATGCCAAATAGATCTACTTACTTGCGTAAAGTATTCGATATTCCTAACTTGGAAATATTTTTCTTACCCAAATTCTTCGCTTTTGTGGCGTTTTTTTTTTTTATTTGTGATAAAACTATAAGTAAAGTTTAAGGCCATCGTTTGGCTATCTGTAAGCAAACTTTAAAAATTTAATTATTACAGTATAACAAATCAATCCTCGTCGGCGCCATTTTTAGATACTCGCAGTAGCTGTTTATATTCGCGGCTGGCAGATGGCGCGCGTTTCAATTGTATGATACGTATGGGCCCATCAGTAGCCAAGTGGTTTCGTTCCCCGAACAATGGGGAGTTCGGTCGTGGGTTTCTTCCTCGCTCGGACGGGTTGGCTACGTGGAGTTTTCCGGGTTTTTCTCCACGTCTGTGGTTTTATTTAGTCTAGTTAAAATCAACGATCTCGCCGTTCGGCTAAAATCCGTATTCATAAAAGTACGAAATGAATTCATCTTAATCTTCAAAATTCTAAAGCCTCCTCGTCAAAGCAGCTGACGGCTCGAACACTGATATTCTGATAGTCTACAACTCTTATCAATAATACACTTTCTAGATTTGGACATTAGAAATTCTTACCAAAATATTTACAGTCATCACCTGCTGTAATAACGAGATAGACTGTAATTTCTCGCTTATCCACAAATTTACGACTACTTGTTTCCATAACAATGAGCAACTTAACATCGTTAGGGTCCCATAGGAATCACTAAAGGCCCTAATGATATAAAGTTTCCAGGCTAAAAAGACTTTTTCCTACCCATTGAAATTCCAGAAATGACTACGACATAGGCCCTCGTTTCCCGTACGTAATGAAAATTTTGACCTACATTACGATGATCATCAGAAAGGAGTAACAAAGCAGACAGTTTGGAAACACTTGGAGACAGTTGATGTCATCGTCGTGATATTGTCGAATTACAAATACGTATAAACAATATTGCAGTCTTCCGAGTAAGAAGTTAGCAAAGGAGCATCGCTTCTTAAAAACGCACTAGACAACACGGTGTATTTGCATTATCATATTGATAATTATTGAAAATAAAACTGTGCCGGCATCAGTCTCATCTACAGAACGATCGTTTTCAAAGAAATACCTTCTATTGCGAAATACAGTGGAACCTCGGTATACGACCTTAATCCGTTCTTGATGTTTGGACTTATACCGAATAGGACGTACACCAAACCAACATTTCCCGTAAGAAGTAATGTAAAAATGATTAATCCCTTCTCATGTAAAAAAAAAATGGCTGACTTTAAACACCTCGCTTTCCTGGCTAGTTCCTGCTTGATTTTTCACGAGATCAGCATGCATTTTTTAATCTTTTTCTCAATTAATTGCTTCTTATACGCTGTCGCCAGCACACTGTTTTTCAGTTATCCAAAGCGAAAGCAATTTCTCACATGATCTAATGTCTTCGATCTCTGGTTAGAAATTGATTTAAGTCGTATACCGAACAAAAGTCGTATACCGAACAAAATTTGTTTCGTCCAAACAGGACGTATTCTAAAGCAGACGTATACCGAGGTACCACTGTACTAGAATCGTAAGGATGTATTTTGTAATATGTTTTTATACTTTATTATTATACTGAATAAAAAGAAAATAACTTGAGATAAGATTTATGAAATTCTTAGTTTTAATTAAATGTTTAGTAGTTTACCTTGTGCTTATTTTCTTGTAAATGTCTAACATTGTAAACAAAGATAACACGGTAAATAAACGTTGTTCTAATTTACTTTATTACAGTCGATCCCCTTATAACACTGTTGATTATTCCGTTTTATATGAATTCCATTTTGTACGAGTCACTTAGATTTTACAAATACGTAAGCCGTTCACAACCCGGCACACGTATTTGTAAAATCTAAGTGACTCGTACAAAATGGAATTCATATAAAACGGAATAATCAACAGTGTTATAGGGGGTCGACTATATTTTAATATTGATATGCATTATCAACTACGTTTAGACTGAGAATTCGGAATTGTTCATTTTAAATTTCATCAAGATTTCGAACGATAACGTCGAGTGTAATCGTTCCATCGCCATGATAATTCGAATTAAAATAAACCAGCAACGAGTTGCTCGACTTTCCCGGCAACATGTAAAATTTTGGTGGCGCCATCTATTATCACATTTTATTTTAAAAATTTTATATTTTTATTTATTATAAATTTTCTTTTTTATTTTTACGGCCAAGTAGCCTACAATGTAAGGTAAATAAGA